CTAGACCACGCCCCTCTACACTAGACCACGCCCCTCTACACTAGACCACGCCCCTCGACACCAGACCACGCCCCTTGACACTAGACCACGCCCCTCTACATTAGACCACGCCCCTCGCCATTAGACCACGCCCCTCTACACTAGACCACGCCCCTTGCCATTAGACCACGCCCCTCTCTGTTAGACCACGCCCCTTGACACTAGACCACGCCCCTTGACACTAGACCACGCCCCTCGGCACTAGACCACGCCCCTCTACATTAGACCACGCCCCTCGGCACTAAACCACGCCCCTCGACACTAGACCCCTCCCCTCTACATTAGACCACGCCTCTCGGGATTAGACCACGCCCCTCTCTGTTAGACCACGCCCCTCCGCACCAAACCCCGCCCCCTATACACTAGACCCCTCCCCTCACATGACCCTGCCCCTCCCATCATCAAAAGCCATGCTCTATCCACTGCTGGACCAAGGCCTGCCAACGCCTCTTGGTTACCGTCCCCCCTATCGCCCTTGCACACGAGAGCTCGTGTCTCAGCTCATATCAGCTCGTCTGGCTGCCATTCCGTCACCAGTCTCAACGAGGGGGTTTTAACGGTAACCGGTAACCATTTTGAGAACCGGTTAACGGTTCAGAAAGGGTAAAGGCGACTGTTTTTTTTATCATCTAAACGTGTCCTTCTTACTGCTTGAGACAGTTTCTATGTGTGCGGCAAACCGGTTTTTTTTCATTCGGTTTACCGGTGGCTGATGCTGCTGCTTCATTCCACTGCTCGTCTGGCGCAGTGTTCCAAGTTGACATTGCTGATTGCTGTAATTATTGGAAGACAATGTCTTTTCCATATAAAAAATACATCCAAACCCTTTGGGCTTTAAATTACAGTCCCTACGATCCGGGGAATGTTGTTGCAAATATGGAGAATGTGGTTACAAATGTGGTTACAAATGTGGTTATAAATGTGGAGAATGTGGTTACAAATGTGGTTACAAATGTGGTGAAAAATGTGGAGAATGTGGTTACAAATGTGGTGAAAAATCTGGAGAATGTGGTTACAAATGTGGTTACAAATGTGGAAAAATGTGGTTACAAATGCAGTTATAAATGTGGAAAATGTGGTTACAAATGTGGAGAATGTGGTTACAAATGTGGTTACAAATGTGGAGAATGTGGTTACAAATGTGGAGAATGTGGTTACAAATGTGGTTATAAATGTGGAAAATGTGGTTACAAATGTGGTTATAAATGTGCAGAATGTGGTTACAAATGTGGTTATAAATGTGGAAAATGTGGTTACAAATGTGGTTACAAATGTGGAGAATGTGGTTACAAATGTGGTTACAAATGTGGAAAAATGTGGTTACAAATGCAGTTATAAATGTGGAAAATGTGGTTACAAATGTGGAGAATGTGGTTACAAATGTGGTTACAAATGTGGAGAATGTGGTTACAAATGTGGAGAATGTGGTTACAAATGTGGTTACAAATGTGGAGAATGTGGTTACAAATGTGGTTACAAATGTGGAGAATGTGGTTACAAATGTGGTTAAAAATGTGGAAAAATGTGGTTACAAATGCAGTTATAAATCTGGAGAATGTGGTTACAAATGTGGTTACAAATGTGGAGAATGTGGTTACAAATGTGGTTACAAATGTGCAGAATGTGGTTACAAATGTGGTTATAAATGTGGAAAATGTGGTTACAAATGTGGAGAATGTGGTTACAAATGTGGTTACAAATGTGGAGAATGTGGTTACAAATGTGGTGAAAAATCTGGAGAATGTGGTTACAAATGTGGTTACAAATGTGGAAAAATGTGGTTACAAATGCAGTTATAAATCTGGAGAATGTGGTTACAAATGTGGTTACAAATGTGGAGAATGTGGTTACAAATGTGGTGAAAATGTGGAGTATGTGGTTACAAATGTGGTGAAAAATCTGGAGAATGTGGTTACAAATGTGGTTACAAATGTGTAGAATGTGGTTACAAATGTGGTTACAAATCTGGAGAATGTGGTTACAAATGTGGAGAATGTGGTTACAAATGTGGTGAAAATGTGGAGAATGTGGTTACAAATCTGGAGAATGTGGTTACAAATGTGGTTATAAATGTGGAGAATGTGGTTACAAATGTGGAGAATGTGGTTACAAATGTGGTTATAAATGTGGAGAATGTGGTTACAAATCTGGAGAATGTGGTTACAAATGTGGTTATAAATGTGGAGAATGTGGTTACAAATGTGGAGAATGTGGTTACAAATGTGGAGAATGTGGTTACACATCTCACCACGAGGTCACCACGTGGTCCCCACGTGCGTGCGCCACCTAACCCAGGGCCGCTGGAACCCCGAGGCCCTCTCGGGCCCCCTGGCGAAAGGGCCACCCAGAGCCCCTGTGGGCCCCCAGCCTGGGGCGCTTGTTGTGAGACGCTGCCATGAGTCTAAGCCCGCGAGTCAACAGCGGGATGGAGCGATGTTTGCCAACGGATCTGGGATTCTCATCGGAGACCCCGCATCCTGGATTAGCTCCCCGTGAGGGGGCCCGGGGTAGGGTAGCACCATGGGGGAGGGCGGGGGGAGGCACAGGGTCCCAAGTTTTCCACGCCCAATGATCGATCAATTTATTAATTACAAAGTAATCGAGGGACTGTGTGTTGTCTTGGTGTGGTCTAGGACTGTTGTTGTTTTTCTGCAGGAATGTATGTACTTGTGCAATGTTTAGCTGAAAACTTAATTTGGAGCTTTCGTGACTGCAGGGATTCATCTTCTTGGTTCTTTCGGTAAAGTCACGTAGAAGGGAAATAATAAAACAATAAAAATAAAACATAATAAAATAATTCTCACGACTTTCGGCCACAACGCAAGCAGCCGTCCTCAGGTGAAGAACAGGTCTGTCGGAAAGACAGCGTCTGAATGAACACCACCAGGCTTGGCAGCGTATATTTAAGCTGGGTTGGAGGGGGCGCCCTTCTACGTGACTTTACCGAAAGAACCAAGAAGATGAATCCCTGCAGTCACGAAAGCTTTAAATCAAAAGGTTAGGGACCGTTGCTCTAGAGAGTTTCAGGGGCTTCCACACGAGGTCTACCGTGACCCTTGCCCCAGTTCCTCCGCCCTGCCGGCACACACACCCGCGTATATGCTCAGCGGCGTGTGCGCCAAGTGCCCATCTGCAGTTGCTGCTGCTGTCTAACAATCAGCGCTATGTCACTACACAAGTAACGAATTTGCACGTTTTGTTCACGTGACAAACCTTACGAATTGGCCGTGTCGAGTGGTGGCGGGGTTAACGACGCATTCACATTTACGCGATCTAACCCAAAAACCTCTATCATGGATAACATTTCGATTTAAAGCTTTCGTGACTGCAGGGATTCATCGTCTTGGTTCTTTCGGTAAAGTCACGTAGAAGGGAGGTAATAAAATAATAAAAATAAAACATAATAAAATAATTCTCACGACGTTTCGGCCACAAAGCAAGCAGCCGTCCTCAGGTGAAGACCAGGTCTGTCGGGGAGACAGCGTCTGAAGATGCTGTCTCTTCTACGTGACTTTACCGAAAGAACCAAGATGATGGATAATATTGGTCGCGAAAGCCTGCTGCTACTACGTGTTAAATAAAATTCCCTCTTGCGACTTTCAACAGCTGGAACGAGGCGACCGTCGGTTTGATTGGGCTCCTCGGTAGACGCCCTTCACGACCGTTGCATAATGGAAGGATGGCAGGCGCATCTTTGCAAGATGACTAGCCGATGGTCAGCGGGCAGGTCAGCTCCACGGTCGGTCCAGGTGTCAAGGTCTTGGGCGTGTATTCGCTGGTCCGTCTCTATATATTCTAGATTTGAAGCCTTCGTGACTGCAAGTATTCATATTCTTAGGTTTTCGGTAAAGTCACGTAGGTAAAAAATAAAAATTAATAAAAGTAAAATAAAATAAAATCACGACGTTTCGGAGGCAACACAAGCTTCCGTCTTCAGGTGGAACCGTCTTACTTGATACAACTGTCGTGGCTGTGACGGTTCCACCTGAAGACGGAAGCTTGTGTTGCCTCCGAAACGTCGTGATTTTTATTTTATTTTTATTTTACTTTTGTTAATTTGAATTTTTTACCTACGTGACTTTACCGAAAACCTAAGCATATGAATACGTCTCTATGTAGTCCAGCGGATGTTTTTGCTTGAACCCGGCATGCACGCTTGATGCAGTGTGGATACACCAATGAATTTAACATTGCGTTGATTACAAGCCCATGGGTGGCACGGAAGTCTAGTATCGTTATTGAGCTGACCTGACCCATCACCTCCAATCAGTCCCGTGCAGGTGCCTGCGTAATGACCCACTCGGCATTACAGTCACCCCATAAAATAACTCGAGGGTTCGCTTCAACCATTGCCTTGGACAGGTCATAGAAAACATCTGACTCGCCCTTGCCTGCATCCCACGACCAACACCATTCCTCACCTGCTGTTGACGAGAACCCACAGCACACACACAAAGAGAACCCCCCCCCCCACACACACCCAACTCCAAACACTCACGCAGAGGCGCGTGCTTGCGTGACACGGAAAGAGAGATCAGGAGAAGTGCAAACAGTGGAAAGCGTTGACAGCAGGGGCCACGCTTTCATCATCACCATCCTCCTCCCTCTTAATTGAGAGACGAAATCTTCCTGCGGTGGCCGCTCCTCTCCCAGCTCGCCCCCCCCCCCGCTCCACTCGGCCCCCCACCCAGCTCGCCACTCACAATACATTCTGGGTGGGGGGGGGGGGCAGCACAACCCTCAAGCACCCCTGCGAGATTTCGTGTCGGCCCTTCTTCACTCCACACCTCCGTCACTGACCTTGACCTCACCACTGACCCAGCCCCCAACAGCCGTGACCCCCCTCCTCCACTCCCCACCACTTTCCACGCGGGTGACCTCACCGCACTTCTCGTGACCTCAGGGCTCCCACCCCACACGCGGAGGGCGTCACCATCACCATTCACCACCACCACCAACCACCACCATCACCATCATCATCGCCACGAGGAGCGGCGAGTGAGAAGCCGCAAGACGTGGTGGGTTCCCTGTGCATCCACAGACCCCCCGCCTCCACGGTGTTCATAGTTCTCAACAGCTCCCGAGAGGACCCGCTGTCCGGTTGGACTTCGTAGGTGCCTAGAGGACCCCCCCCCCCAACCTCCCCGCCATGTGGCCTCCACGCGGGGCGCTGGGGCTGGTACAGGGGTGCGCGGTGGGAGGTCTCGTGGTGATGGCGTTCCTGCTGGGGAGGCTGAGCGTGAGAGAGGGGGGCCGCCAGCCCCTCGCCGCCGCTGCGTCCTCGCCACCGAAGACGTGTGGCAGCAACAAGGCGAAGGGATTCGCGGCGTGGCAAGGGTAGCAACATCATCGTCATCATTATCATCATCATCAGCAGCATCGTCATCATCATCAACATCGTGGCTATCATCAGCCTGATTATCATTATCATCAACATCGTGACTATCATCAGCCTTGTTATCAACATAATAACATCACAAACTCTCATCAGCCTGATCATCAACATCATCGTCATCATTATCGTCATCATCATCAGCATCAACATCGTGGCTATCATCAGCCTGGTCATCAACATCGTCATCATCATCAACATCGTGGCTATCATCAGCTTTCTTATCATCATCAACATCGTGACTATCATCAGCCTTGTTATCAACATAATAACATCACAAACTATCATCAGCCTGATCATCAACATCGTCATAATCATCAACATCGTGACTACCATCAGCCTGATCGGTCATTTTCATCAGCAACATCGCACTCGTCAGCAACATAATAATAATCAGCAACACGATCATCAGCATGCTCATAACCAACTTCATCAACATCGCCAACACAACTAACAGCATCGTCATCGCCAATATCTTCATCATCGCCATGGCCGCGGTAACCACCATCATCATCATCACCTTCTTTCTAATCGGCACTTAGTTAATTTCATTATCACCTTCGCCCTCGCCACCATCACCCTCCACAACATCCCCAAAGTGCTCCTCATCGCTATCTTCCTCATTAACGTCGTAAATCATCATCCTCTTCCTCCTCCACATCTTCCACCCTCAAACATGCCACCGCCATAACCACATCATCCTAAACGTCATCGTCACCAACATCCTCAACCTCCTTGCACTTCTCTCGCCCTTTTCATCACCTTTTCTCCCGCCCGCGTCCCCCATCCTTCACCTCTTCATCCACCTCCTTGACGACAGCTTTCTCACTATGAGACATCTCCTGTACCAGTGGGAAAATATAGTTATATGTTTTTACCCTTTCAACTGCTACAAAAACTGACACCTTTATACAAGGCAGCATGTTTGCAATAACCGCAACACAAGCAGTCAAAATGCAAACAAAAAGAAACAACTCTGATAATGATAATGATATGCACTGTCCTTGAAGTTGATTGGTCCACACCCGAGACAGCTTTCAATCAACTTCAAGGACAGTGCATATCATTATAATCATCAGCGTTGTTTCTTTTTGTTTGCATTTTGACTGCTTGTGTTGTGGTTATTGCAAACATGATGCCTTGTATCAAGGTGTCAGTTTTTGTACCAGATGAAAGGGTAAAAATCTATGACAGCTTTCTCCTTTTACACCTCCTCTTTTACCTCTTCCCCTACCTCCGGCTCTGCTCTTCTTATTTCTCACCTCCTCTGTCAACCTTCTCCTCGTCTACCTCCTCCTCCTGCCCTACCTCCACCACTCAACTCATTCTTCTCTTCCACTCCTCTCCTACCTCTTCCTTCCCTCGTCACCCCCCCCTCCTCCTCCTTCTTCCTCCCCTCCCTCTGTCCCATCCACCTGTCGGCACGTAACCGCATGCAGTGCCGGATGAAGCTAAGTGCGGGGCCTGTAGCATGTGATGTTATAAAAGGGCCCTGAATAAAAATAAAACACGTAAATATTAAAACACACGCATTTTTTACTTGCATAGTAAAGTAATTGTATTTTTTTACTTGCTATACAGCCAGATATTGCCACAAATCGCTAACCGTAATCACCTGGTCGTTCATAAAAGTCGAACAGCAGTATAGTACTCTAGTAATAGAGCAAGTGCAGAATCACTGAACCGGAATTGATAGCTTGAAATCACTCAGCGCGGGGCCCTTGAGAAGTGCGGGGCTCGTAGTATTTGTAGCTACTTTTGCGACGAGGATCATCCGGCACTGCCTATTTGTTCTTTCCTAACTCAAATCGTACCCCCCCTCCCCCCCACCCTCAGCACGACCCCGTGGAGCCTCAACGCGTCCCTCACGGAGCCCGGGTTCGGGGGGCAGCCGAGGCGCGCGGACCGCATGCTGGACGAGAGGCTCGCAGCAATTCCGACGACCACACGTGGTTCCATCAACACCCCACGTGGTCTGTCCACAACGCCACGTGGCTCCATCAACACCCCACGTGGTCTGTCCACAACGCCACGTGGTTTCGCGACGAGGCCACGTGGTCTTCGCGCCACCGCGCGAGGTCTGTCCACGATGCCACGTGGTGTCCGCACCACAGCACGAGGTCTGTCCACGACGTCACGTGGTGTCCGCACCACAGCGCGTGGTCTCTCCACGATGCCACGTGGTGTCCGCACGGGTCCACGTGGCCTGCTCAAACATCCACGTGTTCTCGCCACCCCGCCGAGGCGTCCGCAGACGACAGCAGCTGGGATTGAACCCGAACCTTACAGCCGGGGTCGCCCTCAGAGTCTCCCACAGGGGTACTCGGAGTCCCTGCGAGGACCCCTTCGCTTGCCGTCGACAGGGCGAGGGGTCAAGAGAGTGAACCTGGCGCCCGCGTGGCTGGGAGACACCTACGGGGAGGAGGAGACGTACACACACAGCCAGGTACACGGAGTGCGCACGGTGGCTTCCTTGCCGCTCTTCTATTGCTACTGCCAGGGCGACGGTGGTTCACTCGTCGATTCCTCTTCCCGTGTGGAGGACTCGGTCTACCCGACCGGTTCGCCTCATCCGTCATACTGCGTTTAGCCACCACCACCACCACAACCACCACCACCACCACAACCACCACCACCACCACACTGCTTTGCTCACACCCCAGCACACGTGGGGTACTCACGTGCCTAACCTCCCCCGCCCCCCCCCCCGGACCCCCCGTGCCCCCCCCCCACTACCCCCCCCCCTCCCGCAGTGTCCGGACGGAGTGCGCGCGCGCGTGCGTCACGTGGCCTGGCTGGCCCCCCTCTTCGAGGCGCGCGTGCCCGTGCTGATGTGGAACGAGCACGCGGAGTGGGGGGCCACGCGCGCGCGTCTCGCGCCCCACCTGGCCCCCCACGGGTGGAAGAACGTGAGCCTGGCGGGTACTGAGCACCCCCCCCCCCAAACTCACAACCAACACGAATCTTATTCTTAGGTTTTTTTGGTAAAGTTACGTAGGAAAAAAATAAAAATTAATAAAAGTAAAATAAAAATAAAAATCACGACGTTTCGGAGGCAACACAAGCTTCCGTCTTCAGAAGATTTTTATTTTTATTTTACTTTTATTAATTAAAATGTTTTACCTAGGTGACTTTACCAAAAAAACCTAGGAATATGAATCCTTGCAGTCACGAAAGCTTCAAATCTAGAATTAACACGAATCTTCACCACAGACAACTCGGCCACACACAAGCACCACACACGATTCAAACAAAGGCCCCCCGTGTAGCCTACACAACGTGTCGGGGCAAGTGCCGTACTTACTACGTGAAGGCCAGCACTGAACACGACTGGGTGGGTGGCCGGCACCACACACGCACAGGCATAAGCCTCGCGCGCACACGCACGCGGAGACAGCTGCCATGACCCCGATGACCTGACATGACCCCCTGACCTTGGGTTATCCCGATGATGGTCATGGCGATTTGATGGCGGTTGTGATGCAGATCACGGTCGTTGCGATGCTGCTGCTGCTGATGAAGCAGCTGCTGATGATGCTCCTGATGATGATGATGATGCAGCTGCTGATGATGATGTTGCTGATAATGCTGCTCCTGATGATGATGATGATGCTGCTGATGATGTTGTTGATTCTCCCTCGCTCAGTGATTCAGGACGCCCTCTCCGTGCTTGACTCGCCCGCCAACCGCTACCTGTTCGACGCGGCGCGGGCAACGGGAGGTCACGGCGTGACCCCTGCCCCGAGAGGTCACGGCGTGACCCCTGTCCCGAGAGGTCACGGCGTGACCCCTGCCCCGAGAGGTCACGGCGTGACCCCTGCCCCGAGAGGTCACGGCGTGACCCCTGCCCCGAGAGGTCACGGCGTGACCCCTACCCCCGGCGGGCTGTGTGTGCGCTGCGCCGTGGTGGGGAGCGCTCCCGCGCTGCGCGGATCCGGGCTCGGCCCGGAGATCGATCGACACGACCACGTGTTCAGGTGCGCGGCACGGGGGGACACGGCGGGGAGACGAGGATGTGGGGGGACAGGGGGAAGGGGGGGGTGACGGAGGCACAACGGGACAGGGAGACGGGGAAAGAGGCACAGGGAGACTGGAGGATAAGGCGACGGGGGAATGGGGGGGGGTCAAGGATACGGGGGGACACGGAGACGAAGGAACAGGTAGACGGGGGGACAAGGAGACTGAGGGACGGGAAGACGGGGGCACAAGGAGACAGGGGGACAGGGGATAAGGAGTGGGGTGGGGGGGGGGGGTGTGTGTGCACGTGCGTGTTGTTGTTGTTGTTGTCGTCTGGTCCGGGAGTTGCTGGGTTGACGTCTGGTCGAGGTGACCCCGCCATAGCCGCCGTCGTCATCCGTCGGGCGCAGGTTGCGGGGCGTCCCCACGCGCGACTCGGCGCGGGACCTCGGCTCGCGAACCTCGTTCCTCACGCTCGCCAGCGGCAGCAGCAGCGGCAGCACCATGGACAGCGCCTCGCACGGCCCGCCGGTACACGGAGACACGGAGACACGGGGGGGGGCGGGGGGGGAGACACGGGGGTGGGAGACACGGGGGGCACGGGGACACGGAGACACGGGGGGGGGCACGGGGGGCAGGGGGCACGGGGGTGGGAGACACGGGGGGGGGCAGGGGACACGGGGGGGGGGCACGGGGGTGGGAGACACGGGGGGCGGGGGGGCAGGGGACACGGGGGGGAGGGTGCACGGGGGGGGGCACGGGGGGCAGGGGACACGGAGACACAGAGACACGGAGACACGGGGGGGGGGACACGGGGGGGGGGGGCACGGGGGGCAGGGGACACGGGGGGGGGGGAGACACGGGGGGGGGGGTTGCATGAGACACGGGGATAGGGGGCGGGAAAACAAGGGGACACATAATACGGGACTGATGGTGATGGTGGTGATGATAATAGTGGTGGTGATGATGATGATGGTGGTAACGGTGGTGTTGGTGACGATGGTGGTGATAGTGGTGGTGGTAATAATGGTGGTGGCGATGATGGTGGTGGTGGTGGCGATGCTGATGGTGGTGATGGTGGTGATGATGGTGGTGATGGTGGTGATGATGGTGGTGGTGGTTGTGATCATGATGGTGATGATCGTGGTGGTAGGGGTGGCGTTGATAATGATGGTAATGCTGGTGGTGGTGATGATGGTAATGCTGGTGGTGGTGATGATGATGGCGATAATGATAGTGGTGGTGATGATGGTGGTGGTGATGGTGGTGGTGATGTTCATGGTGGTGGTGATGGTTGAGCAGGAGATGAGGTTGGTGGTGGTGGTGATGATGGTAATGCTGGTGGTGGTGGTGATGGTGGTGGTGATGATGGTGGTGGTGGTGATGGTGGTGGTGGTGATGCTGGTGGTGGTGATGATGGTGGTGATGATGATGTTCATGGTGGTGGTGATGGTTGAGCAGGAGATGAGGTTGGTGGTGATCCCGGACGATGCACGTGACTACGCGATGTTGCACGACGTCATCACACACAGCCCGGGACACTCACAGTGGTGAGATCATCACCATCATAATCACCATCATCACCATTATCACAACCATCATCACCAACCCCACCACCATCATCATTCCCACCACCACCATCATCACCATCATCACCATCTCCACCACTACCATCCCCACCACCATCATCACCATCCCCACCACCATCATCATCTCCACCACCACCATCACCACCACCACCACCACCATCCCCACCACCACCACCACCATCCCCACCACCACCACCGCCCCGTCTCCGCGTGCCGCAGGCTCTCCGCGCTGCTCGGAGCGAACGCCACCGCAGGGAGCTTCAAGCTGCTGCACCCGGACTTCGTGCGCTACCTGCGCAACAGGTGCGCCCCGTGCCCCCCACAGGTGTGCCCCGTGCCCCCCACAGGTGTGCCCCGTGCCCCCCACAGGTGTGCCCCGTGTCCCCCACAGGTGTGCCCTGTGCCCCCCTCTGCGCCCGCCCTCCCCACAACAACAACCGCCATTTGCCACTAAGTGGCGGTGACGTCACCACGACCCTTGTGCCAGGCTACGTGCACCTCGAGGCCACGTGAAGTGTTTCCGCAAAGACCCCACAGACACCCACCACCGTCGTCCTCCCCCCCAGCGATTTGATTCATTGCAGAGACGGGTTGACTCGTCAATGAAGTCTCCTTGGCCCCCCTCATCTCCCTCTCGTGTCTCTGTTTCGCCTAATCACGATGCGTGCATTCACGTCCACCATTGTCTCCCTGTCCCCCTGTCCGCCTGCCTGTTTCCCTGTCTGTCTGTCCCCCTGTCTGTCTCACTATCTCTGTACCCCCCCCCCCCCCATCGTCCTGTCTTCCTCTGTCTCTCCGCACCCCCCCCCCCACACACCTTGCCCGCGTCTCTCCTCTCACTACAATGAAACACACGAGGCTGATGAATATCATCATCACCGATTCCAATGATGAAATTTACACCCCCCCCCCGCCCGCCACTCTCCCGCCCCCCCTCCCCGTGAACCCCCCCTACGGCCCCCCTCCCCCCGTGCCCCCCCCGTGCCCCCCCGTGCCCCCCCGTGCCCCCCCCGTGCCCCCCCGTGCCCCCCCCCAAGGCTACTCCCGTCGCGAGCTCTGAGCACGAACGCGCGCTGGGTCTACCGGCCATCCACCGCCGCAGTGCAGCTGCTGCTCGCCCTGCACACCTGCGACCAGGTGAGAGGGCGGCGTCACCTGGCACGGGGGGAGTGGGGGGGGGAGTAGGGGGGAGTGGGGGGGGAGAGGGGGGTGTGGGGGGGGAGAGGGGGGAGTGGGGGGGGGAGAGGGGGGTGAGGGGGAAGAGGGGGGGGGGGGCGGTGCGCCCACGCTTTGCCCCACCACGACCATCACCACCAGCAGCAGCAGCAGCGGGTGCACGGGCGTCAGCGTCACAAACGAGAGGCGGCACCGGTGACGATGATTTGAACAGAGATGGTAATGATGGTCATGGTGGTGATGGTGATGGTGGTGATGATCACGAGACTCGCAACTGTGATGAGAACAAAGTGCGATGGTGATGATGGTGGTGATGATGATGGTAGTGGTGATGGCGATGATGGCGACGATGATGGTGGCGACGATGATGGTGATAATGACGATGTTGGCGACGACGATGATGATGGCGACGACGATGATGATGGCGACGACGATGATGATGATGGCGATGATGATGATAACGATGATGATGATGATGATGGCGACGATGATGATGATGGTGGTGCCCTTGCCGGGCAGGTGTCGGCCTACGGGTACGCGACGCGAGGCTACGCGCGCCACCCAGCGCGCCTGCTGCACGACACGTCGCTCAGCCACCTCGTGCTCTACGTGCGTCACGACGCGCGCATCGAGGCGCGGCTCTGGCAGCGCCTCCAGTGCGAGGGCCTCCTGCGCATCCACACGGGGGGCCAACGGGGGGCCCACGTGGGGCCCACACGGGGGATCACAAGGGGAACCACATGGGGTCCACACGGGGTCCACACGGGGTCCACACGGGGTCCACGTAGGGCCCACAAGGGGATCGCGTGAGGACCGCATTAGGACCGTGCGGGGAACGCGAAGGGACAAAGCAGGTGCTACGTAGGGACCACATGGGGATTACACACGGGGTTCATGTGGGGCCCACATGGGGACCACGTGAGCATCAAGCTGGGACCCACATGGGGACCACGTAGGGACCACGTGAGCATCAAGCTGGGACCCACATGGAGACCACATAGGAACCACGTGAGCATCAAGCCGGGACCCACATGGGGACCACGTGGGGATTAAGTGCGAACCAGGCGGTGATCACACGGGGACTACGTAGGGACCACATGGGGACCACTTGGAGACTACGCGGGGTACACGTCGGGACCACTCAGGAACCACACGGTCCCCACGCGGGTACCACATGGGGCCCACTGAGCGCACGCGCTTCGCGGCCTTCATTGACAACCTCGCAGTGTCCCGCGTCTCAGACTTGCCACAGAATCTCACGGGGTTCTCCACCCACAACACACCACCGGGGGATGTCGTCTGGACCCTGAGCCTGCCATCGACGGAGACTTCACGCGGACCTCACAAGAAACCCACGGGGTGGTCACCTAGACCTCACACTAGCACCTAACCTCACGTATTTTCTTTCTCGCTCGTTAGCCCGACGCGGCTGTTGGCGCCACGAGACGGAGGGCCCGTGTCGTTCGAAAACGGCGCGCGGAAGCGGATATCACAGAACTTTCTCTGAGATCCCTTCCTCCAATGACCTCTGTTTGCTAAAGTAGATGGCGACCAAATTTCGATTTAAAGCTTTCGTGACTGCAGGCATTCATATTCTTGGTTCTTTCGGTAAAGTCACGTAGAAAGGAAATGATGAAATGAAAAAAATAAAACAATAAATTTCTCACGACGTTTTGATTGCAACACAAGCAATCATCATCAGGTGTGAAAACCACAGCAAGAAATGTTTTGAAAAAAGTGTATCGAGATCACCACCACCGTCATCATCATCATCATCACGCCATCGTCATCATCACCACCAACCACCACCGCAGTGAACATCACCATTTCCAGCATCACCATCGCCACCGCTTTTACACTCCACGTGCTCTGTAACACGATCTAGTCACACCGTAGGTTAGACTACAATAAGAAAGGGGAATTCAATCTCGATCACAAGTATAAAACAATATTCTTCTTTCGCCTCGACTGTGTCATGAATTTGTTAAATTCAAAACCAGCATTTATCCGTGCGTCTCGACGCAGAGCAGCGCAGAACAATAAATTGTTGTACTGCACCGCTGGGCTCCCGTGTCTATGCTCCCAGCCTCGGGTCGCCACCTTTGCCACAGAAAACACAAATCCGGAGACGTCTCTCTCTGAGTCGGCACCCGGTCTGCAGTCGCCACTGTGATGACGTTCACCGCGGCAACACCGCGAACAGATCTCGGTGACCCAATCGACTCCTGCCACCGCTGCGCACACGGTGAGTGGTTGCGTGGTGGAGTGAGTGGGTGGGTGGGTGAGTGGGTGGGTGGGTGGGTGAGTGGGTGGGTGGGTGAGTGGGTGGGTGAGTGGGTGAGTGGGTGGGTGGGTGAGTGGGTGGGTGAGTGGGGAGATGTTAACTACCTCGCCTGGTATGCAGGAGGTCGTGGGTTCGATCCCGATCCCGACCCTGACGCCTGCTGTATATTTGGAGTTTGCGTGTCTCCCTCATCATCGCGGTGGCTAGGAGATGTTAACTACCTCGCCTGGTATGCAGGAGGTCGTGGGTTCGATCCCGACCCTGGCGCCTGCTGTATATTTGGTCAACAAAAAAAAAACACAATTTTTTCTGGCCTGGACTTTTGTAGCTGTTTTAGACTAATTTCAGGGTGCTGATTCCAAATCTGATCTCAGATTTGCTCTATCACCGGTTCAAATAATCGTCACCGGTGGTGGCCGTGAGCGGGAATCGAACTCGGGCCGCCGGGTTCGTAGCGCGGCGCGCTACCCACTACACTACAATGCCTTACGCTTCCACATGCGTGGGTCACGTGACAGACGTGACGTCACAGCTCACTTGCCGTGCAAAAATGACATGCATTATTGAGCCCCCCCCCCCCCCAAAAAAAAAACACAAAAGTGTATTTTTATAATTTGTGCATGGTGTACAGTCGGGAAAGTACCCACATGGCAAATTTAAAGTTTGTTGCATGTCGGGAAGTAGCTAAACATTTTGAACAGACACATAATCACAACTTGGCCTTTCATATATATGGAGATCCTGTGTATAAATATGATACACATGCCCGTCAGGGGGCGCACGGACACTCAATGACAAATGTTTTTCGTGACTGCAAGGATTCATACTCTTAGGGTTTTTCCGGTAGAGTCACGTAGGTAAAAAAAATATTTTTTTATATTTTTATGAATCATTTATTATATTTTTTTGACATACGTGACTTTTATCGGAATAAACCTAATAACGTGTAAACTATATGCTCACTTGATACAGTAAATTCAGCTGTGACGGTCCCACCTGATGACGGAGACTTGTGTTGCCTCCGAAACGTCGTGATTTTTATTTTATTTCTATTTTTATTTATATTATTTTTACAATTTATTTTTATTATTTATTTTTCACCTGCGTGATTTTACCGAAAAAACCTAAGAGTTTGAATCGTCGCAGTCACGAAAACTTCAAATCTAGAATTAACGTATAAACTCTTTGGTTATTTCTGTAAAGTCACTTAGTTAGAAATAAAAGAACTCACGACGTATCGACTGTAACAGGTTTATATAACCTCTAGCCACGACAGCTCTCTCTCTCCCACTTGAGCAATTTTTTATTGCCGTGGTTTTCCCACCTGATGATGATTGCTTGTGTTGCGATTTAAAATATTTTATTTCTAAATAAGTGACTTTACCGAAAGAACCAAAGAGTTTACACGCTATTAGGTTTTTTTTCGGTAAAGTCACGTAGGAAAAATAATAATAATAAAATAAAATAATAATGATAAATGATAATTTAAAAAAAACCTACGTGACTTTACCGAAAAAAACCTAAGAGTATGAATCGTTGCCGTCACGAAAGCTTCAAATCTAGAATGTTTCCACGCTGCGCGTACGGTCTGCCCACGGGGATGCGTTCCGCCCTCTGCTGGATTCCGCTGCAGAAATTCTTAGATGCGTGTGGTGCAGAAGGTCGCAGCCGGGTACCCGATACCCGTACCCTACCCGATGCCCGGCTACCCGTACCCGGCCGGGTACGAGTACTCGTTTGCGACCCTGGTGCGGCCGGGTACGGGTAAGGAATCAAAACCCGTTTGCGACCTCTGGTGTAATGGGGCATTCTGCGTGCACGTTGAACTTCCTTCAACCGTGCTAATCCAAGTTGTTCACGGGGTAGGGGGGAGGCAGGCAGCATGTGAACGATGAATCGATCAGATCTATCCTTGGGCTCACAGCAAGGCGTGGACTTAGGCGCGCGTTGGCTGACACACTGCAAATAGACTCACATTGCACGTAGACTCACACTGCTTAGACTAACACTGCCCATAGACTAACACTGCCCATAGACTAACACTGCTCATAGACAAACACTACCCATAGACTAACACTGTCCATAGACTCAACACTACCCATAGACTAACACTGCCCATCATAGACTAACACTGCCCATAGACTAACACTACCCATACACTAACACTGCCCATAGACTAACACTGCCCATAGACAAACACTACCCATCAGAGGTGGGACAAAGTCATTGTTATGCAAGTCCAAGTCGAGTCTCAAGTCATCAAATTCATGACTCGAGTCTGACTCGAGTCCAAGTCACATGACTCGAGTCCACACCTCAGAGGTGGGACAAAGTCATTGTTATGCAAGTCCAAGTCGAGTCTCAAGTCATCAAATTCATGACTCGAGTCTGACTCGAGTCCAAGTCACATGACTCGAGTCCACACCTCTGCTACCCATAGACAAACACTACCCATAGACTAACACTACCCATAGACAAACACTACCCGTAGACTAACACTACCCATAGACTAACACTACCCATAGACTAACACTACCCATACACTAACACTGCCCATAGACTAACACTGTCCATAGACTAACACTGCCCACAAACTAACACTCCCCATATACTAACACTGCCCATAGGCTAACACTACCCATAGACTAACACTACCCATAGACTAACACTACCTATAGACTAACACTGCCCATAGACTAACACTGCCCATAGACTAACACTACCCATAGACTAACACTACCCATAGACTAACACTGCCCATAGGCTAACACTACCCATATACTAACACTGCCCATAGACTAACACTGCCCATAGACTAACACTACCCATAGACTAACACTACCCATAGACTCAACACAGCCCATAGGCTAACACTGTCCATATACTAACACTGCTCATAGACTCACACTACCCATAGACTCAACACTGCCCATAGGCTAACACTGTCCATAGACTCAACACTGCCCATAGGCTAACACTGTCCATACACTAACACTGCCCATAGACTCAACACTACCCATAGACTCACACTACCCATAGACTAACACTACCCATAGGCTAACACTGCCCATAGACTCAACACTGCCCATAGACTCACACTGCCCATAGACTCAACACTGCCCATAGACTCACACTACCCATAGACTCAACACTGCCCATAGACTCACACTGCCCATAGACTCAACACTGCCCATAGACTCACACTGCCCATAGACTCACACTGCCCATAGACTCACACTGCCCATAGACTCAACACTACCCATAGGCTAACACTACCCATAGACTAACACTACCCATAGACTAACACAGCCCCTAGACTAACACTACCCATCATAGACTAACACTGCCCATAGACTAACAACGCTGGCTTTCCATATGGAGTATTGGAGCCCTGGAACGTATCTCCTGTATTTTTGTTAATTCTTATTAGAACTAGCTGATCACTTCACGTGGTATCAGTTGATGTCTTCCAAGAACGTAATCCCATACCTGTCAACCCCTTATCGGTGCCCTACATTATCACAGACCAATCCAGACCTTATTAGTAACCCCGTATCCCTTATAAATCTCAACGTTCATCCTACAAAATCCCATCACGAGGGAAAATCACAAACAATAAGACACATTGTTGTTGTTGTTGCCAGTATTGAAACGGCAGTACGCCGTACGGACCTGAAAACTCAATTTCCCTGCACAAGACTACTGTATGGCTAAAGCGTAAGGGGCCGTCCATAAATGACGTCACGCACCTAGGGAGGGGGGGTCAGACATTTGTGACGATGTGTGACGAGGGGGGGGGGGGTGAGAAATGTGACGTCACGTCAAAATGCTCAACTTTACAACAACACTAATGGTTATAACAACACTAATTGTTACAACAACACTCCTACAACATCAGAGTGCAGCGCCACATTAAATACGCACTACAATGACGATAGCTTAAAGCGATTTGAAGCATGTTTTAGTTTCAAAATGGAAATATGGTTTTGGGGGGGTGGGGCAGAGCTTTGTGACGTCATATTTAAGGGGGGGGTCTGACTTTTTGTGACGTCGTGAGACGAGGGGGGGGGTCAAAAATCGTCTAAAATCGCGTGACGTCATTTATGGACGGCCCCTATGGGTTGACAGGTTTGTGACCCCGACTTAAACTGATCATTCCCAGTATTAATCGACTCGCAACGATCGGGCTGCAACCAATCAATTAATCGAATCTTGCCCCTTCAATTATAGCGCCACCGATAATCGATTAATCGAACCCTGTCGCCCATAATAAATCGACCAATTGAATCGATCGTGTTATAACCAATCTCTTATCCCGGAATCGTTATTCCGAACGATCGCTTCACCAATAATCGAACAATAGATTCGTTTCGATTTAAAGCTTTCGTGACTGCAGGGATTCATCTTCTTTGTTCTTTCGGTAAAGTCACGTAGAATGGAAATAATAAAATAATTTTTCTAAAATAAAAATAATCAAATAATATTGTAATATAAGAAAATAATGTTTTACTTTCATTATTTTATTATTTCCATTCTACGTGACTTTACCGAAAGAACCAAGAAGAAAATAGAATCCTTGCCCGCCATAATCGACTCATCGAATCGTAACTCTAAATAATCGACAGCGGCATAATCGCAGGGCTCTTGAGTGACAGGCGAGGTCGCCCCGCCCCCCACGCCACCCGGCGTGACGTCACGCACAGCTGATCGTGCCCAGCGGGAGAGAGGGGGGGGTTAGGGGCATTTTCCCCGTCACGTGACGGCACGTGACCAGGAAGTAGCGAGGAGGCGGGGACCACGTGGCACCGCACGGCCACGTGGCCCCGCCTCTCAGCGTGAGCGCGCCGAGAGAGTGAGCGGATGATTGTGGGGAGGAGAGAGGGCAGGAGAGAGGGGAGGAGAGAGGGGAGAGGGAGGAAATAGGGCAGGAGAGAGGGGAGGAGAGAGGGCAGGGGAGGACAGGGGAGAGAAGAGAGGACATTATATAGGAGGAGGAGGAGGGGGGTGGGAGAGAGAGGAGAGAGAGAGGTGTGGCGGTGGGTGTCGCCCCGCTCCCGCTGGCTCGGTTCGACGGCTCCTCCTCCTCCTCTCCTCGCTCTTTTTGGCAGCGGTCAGAGCGCGTCTCTCTGTCAGTATCCGGTCATCAGCAGCAGCAGTAGTAGCAGCAGTAGCAGCAGCAAGAGCGGTGCTGCTGGTAGTGGTGAGCGAGCGAGCGAGGCGGAGGAGGCGTGAGAGAGTGCACGCCAGTCGTAACAGCGGGAGTTTAAAGAAAGTCATCACTCGCATCGTCAGCGGCGAGGGCATTAGAGGCAGCAGTGCGCGTAGCAGCAGCAGTAACACGCGGCGGCAAGAAGCACTTTCAAGCAAGCAGCAGTAGCAGCAGCGTCAGTAATAGCAGCGGCAGCAGCAGCAGCATCAGCAGCCACAGCAGCATCAGCACTAGCAGCAGTATCAGCACTAGCAGCAGTATCAGCACTAGCAGCAGTATCAGCACTAGCAGTAGTGTCAGCAATAGCAGCAGCAGCATCAGCAGCAGACGCGGCATCAGAACGAGCAGCAGCAGAACCAGTACTAGCAGCAGAAGCCACAGCAGAATCAACACTAGCAGCATCAGCAGACGAGGCATCAGCAGCAGCAGAATCAGCACAAGCATCAGCAGCAGCATCAGCACGAGCAGCAGCAGCACTAGCAAGTAGCAGCATCATCTACAGCAGAACCAGCACTAGTAACAGCATCAGCACAAGCAGCATCATCAGCAGCATCAACACAAGCAGCAGCACAAGCAGCATCAGCACAAGCATCAGCATCAGCACGAGCAGCAGCAGCATCAGCACAAGCAGCAGCACAAGCACCATCAGCACAAGCATCAGCATCAGCACAAGCAGCAGCAGCATCAGCATCAGTACAAGCAGCATCAGCGGCATCTCGTAATGGGGGGCGACTCGAGGCGCGTGTCTCGCTGGTATTTTGGGGGTCTCGCCTCTGCGGGCGCGGCCTGCTGCACGCACCCCCTGGACCTGATCAAGGTGAGCCCCCCCCCCCCCCCCGGCACGCGGACACAGGGTTGGTGTACGCCTGTACGGTGCTTTTTCTGCAATATTTAGCTGTCTTTTCTTGGATTTTCAGTTTGCGCGTAGTTTTCTTGTTCATGTTTTTGTTTTTTTCTTCTTCTTGGTTCTTTCGTTAAAGTCACGTAGAAGGGAAGTAATAAAATAATAAAAAGAAAACATAATAAAATATAAAAAGTAAAACATAATAAAATAAGAAAAATTAAACATAATAAAATAATAAAAATAAAACGTAATAAAATAATAAAAATAAAACAATAAAATAATTCTCACGACGTTTCGGCCACAACGCAAGCAGCCGTCCTCAGGTGAAGACCAGGTCTGTCGGGGAGACAGCGTCTTTGTTTGTTGCGGTTGCACCCGATGCAAGAGCCGAATGGCTCACAGGGCTATATACCTAATACATGAACTTGAAACTTGAAACAATGCGGATGCGGCAGCTGCAGCAGCAGCAGCTTAAGATTCCGCAGCTGATACAGCCGCAGCTGCATCTCGCATCACCGTGACTCTGCAAACGCACGATGATGATGTTGAGTGATGGGGGTGACCCCCCCACCTACCCCCAACCCTCGAGTCGCGTGGGTGTGTTGTCCGACGTTCCTGTCCAGCAGCGTGCCAGGGTGTCCTGTCTGGTGGGACCGTCCTATCTCATGGTGTTGGGTGTCCTGTATGAATGAGTGGTGTGTCTCCTGTATATGTGAGTGGTGTGTCTCCTGTATGAATGAGTGCCGGGTGACCTGTATGAGTAAATGCTCGGTGTCCTGTATGAATGAGTGTTGGGTGTCCTGTATGAATGAGTGTTGGGTGTCCTGTATGAATGAGTGTTGGGTGTCCTGTATGAATGAGTGTTGGGTGTCCTGTATGGATGAGTGTTGGGTGTTCTGTATGAATGAGTGCCGGGTGTCATGTATTAGTAAGTGTTGGGTGTCCTGTATGAATGAGTGGTGTGTCTTCTGTATATGTGAGTGGTGTGTCTCCTGTATGAATGAGTGCCGGGTGACCTGTATGAGTAAATGCTCGGTGTCCTGTATGAATGAGTGTTGGGTGTCCTGTATGAATGAGTGTTGGGTGTCCTGTATGAATGAGTGTTGGGTGTCCTGTATGAATGAGTGTTGGGTGTCCTGTATGGATGAGTGTTGGGTGTTCTGTATGAATGAGTGCCGGGTGTCATGTATTAGTAAGTGTTGGGTGTCCTGTATGAATGGGTACTGGGTGTCATCTATGAATGAGTGGTGTCCCCTGTATCTTTGAGAGCTGGGTGTCCTGTATGTATGGGTACTGGGTGTCCTGTATGAGTGAGTGTTGGGTGTCCTGTATGAATGAGTGGTGGGTGTCATGTATTAGTAAGTGTTGGGTGTCCTGTATGAATGAGTGGTGGGTGTTCTGTATGAGTGAGTGATGGGTGTCCTGTATTAGTAAGTGATGGGTGTCCTGCATGAGTGAGTGTTGGGTGTCCTGTATGAATGAGTGGTGGGTGTCTTGTATGTGTGAGTGGTTTGTCTCTTGTGTCTGTGAGTGGTGTGTCTCCTGTATGGATGAGTGGTGTGTCTCCTGTATCTGTGAGTGGTGTGTCTCCTGTATCTATGAGTGGCGTGTCTCCTGTATCTGTGAGTGGTGTGTCTCCTGTATCTGTGAGTGGTGTGTCTCCTGTATCTGTGAGTGGTGTGTCTCCTGTATCTGTGAGTGGTGTGTCTCCTGTATCTATGAGTGGTGTGTCTCCTGTATCTGTGAGTGGTGTGTCTCCTGTATCTATGAGTGGTGTGTCTCCTGTATCTATGAGTGGTGTGTCTCCTGTATCTATGAGTGGTGTGTCTCCTGTATCTGTGAGTGGTGTGTCTCCTGTATCTATGAGTGGTGTGTCTCCTGTATCTATGAGTGGTGTGTCTCCTGTATCTATGAGTGGTGTGTCTCCTGTATCTATGAGTGGTGTGTCTCCTGTATCTATGAGTGGTGTGTCTCCTGTATCTATGAGTGGTGTGTCTCCTGTATCTGTGAGTGGTGTTTCTCCTGTATCTGTGAGTGGTGTGTCTCCTGTATCTATGAGTGGTGTGTCTCCTGATCTGTGAGTGGTGGTGTTCCTGTGAGTGGTGTGTCTCCTGTATCTATGAGTGGTGTGTCTCCTGTATCTATGAGTGGTGTGTCTCCTGTATCTATGAGTGGTGTGTCTCCTGTATCTATGAGTGGTGTGTCTCCTGTATCTATGAGTGGTGTGTCTCCTGTATCTATGAGTGGTGTGTCTCCTGTATCTATGAGTGGTGTGTCTCCTGTATCTATGAGTGGTGTGTCTCCTGTATCTGTGAGTGGTGTGTTTCCTGTATCTGTGAGTGGTGTGTCTCCTGTATCTATGAGTGGTGTGTCTCCTGTATGGATGAGTGGTGTGTCTCCTGTATCTGTGAGTGGTGTGTCTCCTGTATATGTGAGTGGTGTGTCTCCTGTATGGATGAGTGGTGTGTCTCCTGTATCTGTGAGTGGTGTGTCTCCTGTATCTATGAGTGGTGTGTCTCCTGTATCTATGAGTGGTGTGTCTCCTGTATCTGTGAGTGGTGTGTCTCCTGTATCTGTGAGTGGTGTGTCTCCTGTATCTGTGAGTGGTGTGTCTCCTGTATCTATGAGTGGTGTGTCTCCTGTATCTGTGAGTGGTGTGTCTCCTGTATCTGTGAGTGGTGTGTCTCCTGTATGGATGAGTGGTGTGTCTCCTGTATCTATGAGTGGCGTGTCTCCTGTATCTGTGAGTGGTGTGTCTCCTGTATCTATGAGTGGTGTGTCTCCTGTATGGATGAGTGGTGTGTCTCCTGTATCTGTGAGTGGTGTGTCTCCTGTATCTATGAGTGGCGTGTCTCCTGTATATGTGAGTGGTGTGTCTCCTGTATCTGTGAGTGGTGTGTCTCCTGTATATGTGAGTGGTGTGTCTCCTGTATCTGTGAGTGGTGTGTTTCCTGTATCTGTGAGTGGTGTGTCTTCTGTATCTATGAGTGGTGTGTCTCCTGTATATGTGAGTGGTGTGTCTCCTGTATCTGTGAGTGGTGTGTCTCCTGTATCTGTGAGTGGTGTGTCTCCTGTATCTATGAGTGGTGTGTCTCCTGTATCTGTGAGTGGTGTGTCTCCTGTATCTGTGAGTGGTGTGTCTCCTGTATCTATGAGTGGTGTGTCTCCTGTATCTGTGAGTGGTGTGTCTCCTGTATCTGTGAGTGGTGTGTCTCCTGTATCTGTGAGTGGTGTGTCTCCTGTATCTGTGAGTGGTGTGTCTCCTGTATCTGTGAGTGGTGTGTCTCCTGTACGGATGAGTGGTGTGTCTCCTGTATCTATGAGTGGTGTGTCTCCTGTATCTGTGAGTGGTGTGTCTCCTGTATGGATGAGTGGTGTGTCTCCTGTATCTGTGAGTGGTGTGTCTCCTGTATCTGTGAGTGGTGTGTCTCCTGTATGGATGAGTGGTGTGTCTCCTGTATCTATGAGTGGTGTGTCTCCTGTATCTGTGAGTGGCGTGTCTCCTGTATCTATGAGTGGTGTCTCCTGTATCTGTGAGTGGTGTGTCTCCTGTATCTATGAGTGGTGTGTCTCCTGTATCTATGAGTGGTGTGTCTCCTGTATCTATGAGTGGTGTGTCTCCTGTATGGATGAGTGGTGTGTCTCCTGTATGGATGAGTGGTGTGTCTCCTGTATCTATGATTGGTGTGTCTCCTGTATCTGTGAGTGGCGTGTCTCCTGTATCTATGAGTGGCGTGTCTCCTGTATCTATGAGTGGTGTGTCTCCTGTATCTGTGAGTGGTGTGTCTCCTGTATCTATGAGTGGTGTGTCTCCTGTATCTATGAGTGGTGTGTCTCCTGTATCTGTGAGTGGTGTGTCTCCTGTATCTATGAGTGGTGTCTCTCCTGTATCTGTGAGTGGTGTGTCTCCTGTATCTGTGAGTGGTGTGTCTCCTGTATCTGTGAGTGGTGTGTCTCCTGTATCTGTGAGTGGTGTGTCTCCTGTATCTGTGAGTGCCGTATTCAAGGCTGCCTGTGAATGTAAACACGGCCGTGTTCACGCAAACACCGCTGCCTCTGACAGCTGACCTCAGCTGACCTCCCCCGCATTGACCCGCTGCTTGTTGTTGTGTCCTTGTGTCGGAGACGGCTGCTTTGGTGGGCCGCATTGTCCAGAGTGTCCCCCTCGTGTGTGTGTGTCCAGAGTGTGTGTGTGTGTCTCGTGTGTGTGTCTCGTGTGTGTGTGTGTGTCCAGTGTGTGTGTGTGTGTCCAGAGTGTGTGTGTCCCTAATGAGAGTTCTACCTGTGTGTGTGTGCATCTGTGTGTTTCCCCTGTACGTGTGTCCTTGTGTGTGTGTGTTCCATCTGTGTGTGTCCTTGTGTGTTCCACCTGTGTGTGTGTGATCCACCTGGTTGTGTGTGTCCTTGTGTGTGTGTTCCACCTGTGTGTGTCTATGTGTGTCTGTGTGTGTGTTCTATCTGTGTGTGTGTCCTTGTGTGAGCTGCTACTGGGCAGTTGGAAGCACAACGGAGGGCAGAGAAGCGACGCTCACAACAACGAGCGGAACGCCGGGCGGCTAAAGTGCAGCAAGTTGCGTCCCTGTGTGTGTGGGGAGCGGTAGTGTAGTGGTTAGCGCGTGTAGCTACAAACCCGTTGACCCGAGTTCGATTCCCACTCACGGCACAACACCGGTGGCGATTATTTGAACCGGTCCTGAGCCTCCCCTAGGTCGACTCAGCCTCAAAGGAGTACCTGGTGCGGTATGCAAACATCGCCACTGGGGAGACAAAGGCGGTCGGGCGTGGTGCTGGCCACCCACCCCCCCTCGTGTGCCGTTCCGGCCGTCATAGGTGCTCGCTAACAGCACTTGCAAGGCTATACGGGGGATCGTTGGGGGGGGGGGTATGGTGGTGCTGGTAAAAGTTATTAATTTCCAGATGTTTTTTAAGGCTATACGGGGGATCGTTGGGGGGTATGGTGGTGCTGGATAAAA